ACCCGCCAATTTCACCAACGGCTCCTTTCCCCCAATTCCATCTTCTCCGACGAAAAACCCTAGATTTCTCCGATTCCCCGATCGGTGACTTGTTTTCTCGCGTTTTTGGTTGATACCCAGAAATTTGATACTCGTGAGTTTACTGTTTCTCAAGTTAAAGTTTCAATTTTTTTGGTTTTTTTCTCTCTCTCTCTCCCAGTTTACTTATGAATTTACCTTAATTGTGTTCTTCATTCATTTTACTCTCTGCTAAGCTCAGATCTTTGTATTGTTTTCTTATCTTAGTTTTTGTTTTAGTCAACTCGTGAGTTGGTGAGGATTTTCGAATACGAATCATATCTTTATCGGAATTTCGAATTGGGCTTTTTATTCTGAAATGTTGATTTGAGAGATTGGAAGCAGCTAAAGTCGTAATATTGTGTAATTTGCTAGTCTCTGTCAGATTTTGTTCACTCATGTTAGTTTTATTCTGCTTTTTGTAGCTTGATCTGTTTGTCTGAAGAGTCGTAATACTGTTTGTTTCGTTGAGGAATTCACTGTCCAGATGCAGAAGATGACACTGTGCGTTCTGTTTCTGTAAGTCTTTAACTGTTTCAATTATCTCGCCAAGGCCTTTGGTTTGTTAAATCACGAAATTGATATGTCTCTGATGCTTTGGTATCAATCTTTGGGTTGGTAAAGTCGAAATCTGAATGATAAATAGCTTCGTTTGTACCATTCTTTAGTCATTTTGAGTTAGAATATATTCGTGTTTTTGTTTCAGAGTTGGACAATTCGATCTTATTTGTCACGTTCTGTTTTTACAGGTACTGATCGAGCGAGAAAGTTAGTTTCTATTTTACTGAGTTATTTGTTTTGGGAGCAGTGTGAAAAGTTTGTTCCAGCAATGGCGAATCGCGATTTGATGCTTGGACAGAACCGTAATATCGGTATTGGTCAGGGTCAATCGTTGGTGCTTGGTCATAGCCACAGTCTAGGGCTTGGTCAAAACCATGATGTTGAGTTAGGGCAAGGCCACAATATGAATTTAGGACAGGGTCATCATGATCATGGAATTGATTTAGGACATCAACATGATGATCATGAGCTAGACATAGGAGATAGCGAAAATGACGGAGATGATCAACATCATCACGATTATATGAACGAGAATGAAATCTCGGTGGATCAAAAGCCTGGTCATGAAGATGTTGATCCCGATTTGGTTCTTTCCTCGCAAAACCATGAGTTTTCACTGTCGGATAATAATCAGTTGGGAGTTGGGGAAAACCATGAACTAGACGAGAATCTGGAACTAGCTGTTGACTCGAGTCACGAAATTGAAATTGATCAGAATGGTGAAATGGTTATGGTTAGCACTCCAGTTCAAGCACGAGCTCTTACTGATGACATGACTTACCAACTTACTGTTGGACAAGAGTTTCCAGATGTTAAGAGTTGCCGTAGAGCATTGAGAGATATGGCAATTGCTCTTCATTTCGAAATGCAGACAATAAAATCCGACAAAACTCGTTTCACAGCTAAATGTTCGAGCGAAGGATGTCCATGGAGAGTTCATGCAGCAAAGCTCCCTGGTGTTCCAACTTTCACAATCAGGACGATCCATGAAAGCCATAGCTGTGGAGGAATAAACCATTTGGGTCACCAACAAGCTTCGGTTCAGTGGGTTGCTAGCTCGGTTGAGCAACGGCTTCGTGAGAATCCGAATTGTAAACCGAAAGAGATTCTTGAAGAGATACATCGGGTTCACGGGATCACCTTATCATACAAACAAGCTTGGCGTGGTAAAGAGAGAATCATGGCGACAATGCGCGGATCTTTTGAAGAAGGGTATCGGTTACTTCCGCAATATTGCGAGCAGGTTAAGAGGACAAATCCAGGAAGTATTGCTTCGGTTTATGGAAGTCCAGCGGATAATTGCTTTCAGCGTCTCTTCATATCGTTTCAAGCTTCAATTTACGGGTTTCTAAATGCCTGTCGGCCGCTTCTTGGATTGGACAGGACATATTTGAAGAGCAAGTATTTGGGGACTTTGCTTCTCGCGACTGGATTTGATGGTGACGGCGCAT